GAAAGCTCATACCTTAGAAATTATAGGTGAATGAGTATGTTGGTAAGAACTATGTGGTCTTTGTGTATCACCTTGTCAGCTGCATTTTGAAAATGTTATCAATGTTATCTGCTAAGGACTCTTCCTGTCGTATGATATTCTGGTGCAATAAAAGTCCATTTGTGGTTTAACAGCTGTTTGAAAAGCTAGTGAGCAGATAAAAATAAGTGATGAATCATCTTCTAATGGAGAGAGGCCTTTGGTGGGGTTCATCATATTTTTAAAAAAATAATCAAGGGAAGAGGACTAATAGACAACTTATCAAAACAAAACCTCAGTGATTTGCTAAGACTCTCTGACTGCAGCAGATTGCAGAAGGATCTCATTATAATAAATGGGAAATAAAATCATTTATTGAGGCTGGTAGTAAAGTGTTACATGTAAAGGAAAATCTTAACTGATCATTTCTTGGTTGGTCATTATCATACATAAAGATCTTTGAGTTATGGTAGACAATTCCATGAAAATACCAGAGGAGTAGTGTTTGAAATAGTGAATAAAGTGCTTCAAAGCAAATAGAGAACAAATACAAAAGCTTTATCATTTTGATGTATGAAGTGGTGCCATGTTTGCATCTAGATGCAGGTAATTCTCCTTGCCCTGTCTTTCTAACAATACAAAAGAACTGGAAAAGTAACACACAAAGATGTGGGACTAAGATAATCAGGGATCTGGAACTACTGAGAAAAGTGGAATACAGCATTTTCAGAAGTGATAACAAAAGACTCTAGATACTATACCTGGTTTCAGTTTTATAAAAAAAAAATGCTAGGGTTTTTTCAGCAACAGATCTATGCTTAATTAATGATGAAAGTTAAGTAATGAAAAGGAAATTTTGTCTAGTATTTCCTTTTAATAAGAATTAGAAAACTCACTTTCTAAAACTGTGTAAAGTAATAGCATTTTAATTTTACACAGACATACAAATTGTTAATGAAAAATGTCAGATAAATTTTGTCTTCTGGAAGAGGAACAGGGAAAAGCCGTGTATACTCCTATAGGCATGAAATGAATTGCTTTTTAGCCACTTTGTGACTTTGCAGCGGAACTGTATGAAACTTTAACCAGGCAAAACCATTTGTTTAAATCTGCTTATGAGTGTGATCCAGTCTCTCAGTGGACTTAAGTACTTTATTTTCTTTTGAATGGAATCGAGATCACATTTCTAAGTATGTAGTGTATACTGCTGATGTAAACCCATGTTTTTACTCACAATATAAATTCACTAGGAAGTAAAATGTGATGAGAGCAGGGATAAGAAACAACCACACCTTTCTGTGGTGTGCTTCGTGTTTGGGTAGTGGTTCATGGGTAAACATGGTTGATGCAAGCTGTACCTAAGTTTGAGCTGTACCTGTTATCACAGTGTAGTATACCACTCCTGGAACATAAGTTGTGCAGGGAATTTGTTCCAGAAAAGTGTATTCTGATTGCAATAGTCCAGGTATAATCTCAGCAATTTTTTTTCCTGGAGTACATGTAAAAAAAAAAATAAAAATGCTGAAGTTGGTGGGTTGGGATGAGTCATGAGCTGCTTTCTTCGTAATTATTGAATTGGGGTTTGTTTTGGTTTGGTTTTTTTGTTTGGTTTTCATTTCCCCTCCCACCCCCCACTCATGTATGTTTTGGTTTTCTTTTTTACCCTTCCCCATGTTTTTTTTTTTTTTTTTTTTTTTTTTTTTTTTTTTCCCCCCCCTTTTTTTTTTTTTTTTTTTTTTTTTTTTTTCTTTCTCCCCCCCCCTACAGGGATGCCTGCGGTCTGTAATCCAGGCATGGTACCAGTGGCAATACCACCTCCTGCGGTCAACCCTCAGCACCTGTGTAATGAAGAGGACCTGAAATCTATTCAGGACATGTTTCCCAACATGGACAGGGAAGTAATCCGCTCAGTGCTAGAAGCTCAGAGGGGGAACAAGGATGCAGCTATCAACTCCTTGCTTCAGATGGCTGAAGAATCGTAGATCCCCACTTCCTGCATAGTCCCCATCCTTGATGCCACTTATTTTTACTTGCCAAGCCAGGGATTTAGCTAGAGGAATAATTTCCCAACAGCTTTCTGTTAGTGCATCCTGTGTGAAAGATTATACCCCTTTTCTCCTTGGACATTTGGATCTTTTTCACTTCTTTCTCAGTCTGTACATACTCAGTTTAGCTTATGCCCTACAATATAGCATTGAAGCTCTTTACTATCGGCTGTCCCCTGTGTGGCTGTATTCTGATGCGGTGGGGAGTAATGCTGCTTTTTTTTTTTTTTTTTTCCTTTGCCCCTTTTCATAGATTTGTTCTCACAAAGTAACTCTATGCAGTATAGGATTTACTACTGTTTGTTAGATTGAAAAGGAAAAAAAAAATCTATGGAGGGTTTGCTCTTCAAATATAACTGATTTATTGAATTATTTAGGTTTCATCAAGCAGCCTTTTTCTTCCAGAATTTAAAAGAAAGACCCTTTCCTTGTCCTATGGTGTTTAATTATTGCCATGATATATTCAACTTTCTGATTGAACATTTTTAATAAGCTAAATTTCTTAGGTTGCACTGTTGGTATTTGTAATGAGGTTTTCTGTTCAATCTAGTCATTGGGCACCAAAGCAATATGTGTGCATTTTGGGCTTTATCCTCTCATATAGTATTGTTATGTATCAGTAAAATCTTTACAGGTAACTTTTAACTTGTATAGTAGGTATTGCTGTAGCAGAGAACAGGATTGAGCCCTAATGTACTCCCACAGTTAGTTGCACTCTAGCTGCTGATAGCATTCCCATGGCTATTTCTAAGGGTAAGTGCAGAAGAAAAGATGTTTATGCCTGGATAATTACTGAAGCTGTAAACAATTATTGAAGGTGGTGTTTTGCATTAAAAAAGTGGGAATCTATGATCTGGTTATAAGGCCTATTACACCTGTATTTCAGCAAAATTATCATTTTATATTAGTGGAAAACTTACGGTATTTTTTCCTGTAATCTGAAATAAGAAGCATGAAAAGTAGCTTCAGAATCTTTGAATGGCATTATGAGTTGCTCAGTGACTTAAGACTACACTTGCTGTAGCCAGTTTATCATTATTTGATGCAGATGAAAATACATTCTTTGTGAGAGAAAATTTAACATATCTGAGTTATAGACTGATCCTTAGAGGAGATTGGAGGTTGCTTGTATTTATTGTTAGTATTATTTTTTCAGATAACAGTTCATTTTGGAGCTGCAGAATCTTACAGTATGTACCAGTTACAACTGTTGGATAAATTTCTGCAGTATCTGTTTTTGTAGATGGTAAAGTCATGCACTTTAAATAGTATGCACCAGTTTATTTTTCCAGTAATGTGCAATGTTGCTGTTTTATCTTTTTAATGTTTGATTTCAAATACTTTCTATAATAGCCATAGACCTTTTATATTTTCAAGAGTTGGAATGAATGTACACTTGAAATCTAGGCCCTTGAGTGATTCATGAGAACATTAAAGCCAGGTTTGGAATAGGGAAAAGGGATTCATGTTCTCTTCACCATGCTTTGTTTCATGTCCCATGCTTAAAATACTTTCTTTATCTGCTGAAAAGCTGATTTTTCTCCCCCCATACAAGAAGCCTTTAGGTAATACTGATAGTAGAGCATGATTATTTTTTTTTTATTATTATTAAAATTGATACTGAAACTTTTAAAATGCAGCACCAAAAATCATCCCAGTTTCTGACCTTTTAAAGCTATCTTTTCATAATTTATGATTTTAAGTTTTGTCATGAATCCCTTACCATCTTAAATTTACTGTGATAGCGTGTCTTTATACATCTTCCAATTGGCTTTTCAGTAATGAGATTCAAGGCTATAGTTTCTGTGCTTTAGTTCTAGAGTCACCATGTTTTTATTTTCTAAAATAAAATGAGTGCTACTCAAGAAACTGGTCTTGCACCTTCCCTACAATCATGGTAAATTTTGTGATTGAGTAGGTGTAGAGGCATTTGGTCTTTATAGCACAATGATTTATGACCTTGTCGCCCAAAAGGGTAAGTCATGGTAAGGATTTAATGCTTCGATATTTTCAGGAAGAGTCCCTTGCTCTAACTTTTACACAGATAGCATGAATTGCTACAGATGAAACAATTCAGGGAAAATGTATATATTTAAATTTTTATATTAAAATGTTGGGATCCATAATACAGCTTTTTATAAAAGCAAGTGGTCATGGTTCAACTTAATGGCTGGTAAATTGTACTGCATCCTATTACAGCTCAATTTCAAGCACAGAATAAACACCTTTTCAATCCTAACCACCAGAAGGAGTAAGTGTGAATGCTAGGTTAGCCAGGTTTATTCATAGACTAGGCTCTGGGCCTCTGTAGGCAGCTCCTGGTCTTTGTTTTGTTCTAGGCAAATGTTATGCAAAACAGGGTATGAGTTGAAAATGGGATATGTAGGAGTAGTGTGGCTGGTAGATGGGTTTCAACATGTTACATTATACTTATATATTGCTCTGGGGATTTTTTTGGTCTTGATTTAAAATGCTGATTGTAAGCCTACTCAGCTTTTCACCATACATATCCTCTCAGTCAAACTATTCATTGTCAGGTTTTTATTGGAGAAAAATTAAAAAAGGCAGGGAGTGTTTAGTTATTCTAGGGTCTGTAAAAGTCTAGGTCTGTGGAACTGAGTCTGTGTCTTGATTTAAAATAAATGTCACTCATTATGATTGTAGCTTTTGACAAAATGCTAATTGGATAATGTGTTTGATGCTGCTCTTCTGCTCAACAACTTCAAGCAGCTTGGAGCCAAAGCCAGCTGTATAAGACAGGCATCTGCTAAAAGTTAATGCTCTTAATACTAGTTTGAGTCCTGCCAAGAGCCTAATCTTACTGAAGGTAGGAACGTTTTTTGTCTAGCTAGATCCTTGCTACTTTCTTCTCTATGCTCTTTGCATCTGCTGATGGTACTGAATGTTTTTTCCCTAACAAATGTTATTGCTTGTTTGGTTGATATGTAATACCATACAGAGGATGTTTTTTGCTGTAATAATTCTGAAGACATTGTTTCTCTGTATCGAGGTCCAGTGTCCAAATGTTTCTTGCACTCTAAAGTACATTAAGTTTTTCATTCTAAGTTAATAAATGTATCATTTAAATGAAAGTGTATTATGTCTCTGTTGGAGAGCACCACAATGAGTCTTTGTCTATAGACTGATCTAGAATTCAGGTATCGATTACTGACTTGTTAAATAATGGGCAAGACAAAATAAGTTACACTGCTTCTTGATGCGATCATCTGGTAGGACTAGTACGGTAAATGCTCAAAAGTATTTTAAGCATTCATCTTTAGGTAGATGCCTTTTTCTAACTCTTCTAGGTGCTACTTTGTCAAGAAAATGTTACAGTACTGCAGGTCTGGAGGACAGAAAGAGGCAGTAGTGAGGTTGCACTGTTGAAAGGACAATGCTGGAGGGTAAGGGAAGTGGGAAGACAGTGTGTAGGTATGGTTGAAATGTTCTGCAGTGTGAAGGGTTTGAGAATTCTCTAGATGAGTGGTTTCCAAGTGCAAAGTTATGAAATAGACCTTGTTATGTGCTATTTCAGCTACAGTAAGAACTGGCTTTATCTGCTAATGTGTAATAAATTTTAAAGATTTGGTATATATAGCATCTCTTTATAGTTCTGTGATTGACTCCAAAGCTATCTGAGGTCCTTTTTCTCATTTAACAGTATTGCTGTGACTGGTGATGATTAATTAATTGCTAGTCTGTAGTATAATTTGTTGCAAAGCTAGCATTTTGGGGTTTACAGCCCAGTTCATAGTGTGGGTTTTTTTAGGAGTTAATTTTTTTTTTTTTAATTTAACAAATGATAGTTGAGAGGAATCTTTCGCAACTGAATTTCCTTTGATTTACTTTATGTATTTAGTACTTACTATGAAACAATTTTATTCAAATGCTTTCTTCTAGTCATTGAGTCACTTTCTATCCCAATTTATGTTCTAAAGCTTACTGTTTGCTTTCACATTTTTTTGGTGTACTGTGAGAGATAAGAAAAACAAGAATTAATTTACTTAGATGTTGGTGTTTGTGTGGCTGCTAAAGCATCTATTCAGCTTTTTAATATTTTATTAGCATCGAAAAAGCCAATAAACTCATGTGTGGGGGTGTAAAAAAAAAAAAAGGCAAAACCAAACCAGTGTATTTTGAAAATTATTCAACCATTTAAGTACATCAATGAGAGCAGGGCCTCTAGGAACAAATACAAGTACTGGTTTTCTTAGAGTAAGTAGGAAAAATGAAACCCTACATTAACAGTCTTCTCTGCTGCAGTTTTAAGTTGTAGCCTACTGAAGACTTAAACTTTCTCTCCACTTTCTCTCCTAGATCTTCAGGAAGCTTGTTTAGAAACCTAAGTTAATGAGGTTTTGTACTGCAGTATGTTTTAGAAGGATGCCAAAAAGCATAATTAACTTTGTAAGAAAAAGGAGATTATACTCATGGTAAAACATAACTTTTGAAGTAAAATTTGCACATAGATGGGAGAAATGATTTTGTGGAAAGCAAGTAAATTGAAATTGATCTTGGCTATATCTGTATTCCCACGTCTTGTGGGCAAAGTGGTAATTGGTGGTTGCTTTGGTCACAGTGACCACAAAGTAATTCAGAGTTTCAAATCATTGGCAGTAGGAGGAAAAACTGCCAGCAAAACTTCAATCCTAGATATGGGGAGAGCAGACTTAAGGCTGCTGAAGGAGTGACTTAGTAAGGTTCCCTGGGAGTCTTGCTATTGAAGGTATTGGGAGTCCATGCATGTTGGTCACTTTTTAAAAGCCATCTCTCAAGAGTGCAGGAGCAGGCAATTCCAAACAAGCGGGGCAGAAGGCCAACTTGGCAGAGCAGGGACCTTCTAGAAGTTAGGTGGAAAAGTGGAGTGTATCGATACTAAAGGCAAGGACAGGCAATACAGGAGGACTACAGAGATGCTGTTTGCCCCTGTAGGGGA